TAGACTGAACAACGGCTACGGCACTTCTGAAATGGTCATCGCTAATTCACGACATCAGTCTTGGAGAGATACTTTGGTGATCTTCGGTTTATGTGAGTCGTCGTAACACATTTCTCACCCATTCGTAATCGTCACCTACACAAATTTTGTCCGTACACGTCGAGCACGACATTCTCTTTTAACCGCGAAATACTGACTTGCCGAACGGCTATATACATTTTATACCTCCTGCTTACTGGTATCTTTGTTACTTAGTAACGCGACCTCTTTTAAAACTGAACATATCTGAGGCAGGGATCTTGTCAGCAGTTTGTGGGAGACAAGCATTCACACAGTTTTTAGGTACCTTCATGACTTCCTTAGGATCGCACTAACCACTGGGACTTCACTGTACCAGTGCAAATTATACTGCAAATTTTAAACGATCTTCTGCATAAGCAAAACGCCACAGGCCCATATTCTGTGCGATGTTGGTGCACGTTAAAGAATACCAGGTGGTCAAAATTTCTGGAGTCCTGCACTACAGCCCTTCTCTATCATATGAAGCCTTCGGTAAGCATGACTTCAGGTTTTAATAAGTGCTTCTACATCCCCCGACATATCAGTTTCCGTACGAGAAATAAGTCCGCTTACGGATTACCTCTCCAGCTTTTGGAAAGTCACGTGTGCAGGATGTTTGAACGCGGCAAAACTAAGTTACTACTTTTGTTGACCGCCATCACTGCCTCTGTCTTCGTCGGTTCTGCATGCGCTGTTGTCTCCAGTCTAACATTAACTTTCATACACCACATTCCGCAACACTTCAACACTGTAACTGTGTCTAATTTAATATTGCATGTTCAGTGTACGTGTACAATATTTCCTGTACAATATGTGAAGTTCTTGTCAGAGACGTAAGAATTTGTCAGCTTTCAAATTAACGCTACGGCTGCAGAAATAAACGTTCAAGCAGTTTTTTTTTTTTATCGCCACAGGGTTTAACTTATTACAAGCAGGCCCTGTTACCATTTCATTCGAGCTTGTACTGAGCAGACTGGAGTATTTTCTTTCGAGAGTAATGCTGGTATCTCAGTTGACAATTTAAATGCTTTGTCAAATTTACTTGTCCCCGAACGACTATTTGTACTATATCTAGCGACAATGTATCTGCGTAGGTTCGTTGTAGCTCCAGTTTTCATGCGATTTCTTCCTAGCTGCTATTGGTCGAGAGTTGGTGTTGATTTTTCACTCTTCATTGTTGCTACACGTTTCTTTAGATATGTTTACGATGTTTTAGTGATCTTAAAATCAAACCCTTCCGAAACTATCACTGCTGCAGTGAACGGTGTTCTTTTGTTTAAACAGCGTGTGAAAGGGCTTTTCTTTACCCTTGAGATGCCTTTAGCTGACTATTTGCAGTTTGTCTATTTAACCTCGATGCTGTCAGAGTGGCACGTCGACGACAAATTCGCTAGGCCTACTTGCCTTCGCTCTCGTGCAGACCTCGCACCCTAGGAATCGACGCTCACGAAGTTTATTGTTGCGACGGCGATAGCCTCAATGTGCCTCGGATCTGCGCTGACGCTATCCCGTGGTAACAAAATGTAGGAAAGTTTCAACCACCAAATAGAGAGGTTAAAGTCAGCCGGATACACTTGTTCTGATATGGTAGCGGTAGAGAAATGTTTTTTTTTCTTCAGAAACTGAAGGTGCCGTAAACAAATTACTGGTGGATTAAAAAAAAACAGAGGTCTCACCGTATTCCCTGAACTCAAAGGAGGATGCGAACAAATTACACGATGCTTGTTGGTTTTTCAGCTCCACAGAATTTAGCCGACCTCTGTCTACGCATCATAGTGCCGTAAAAGTTCTTCGTTGCCTGGATAAGGCACTCGGCTGCTGACCCGCCGGTCGCGGGATCGAATCCCGCCAGTGGCGGCTGCATTTTCGAGTGAGGTGGAAATGCTGCAGGCCCGTGTGCTCAGATTTTGGCGCACGTTAAAGAACCCCAGGTGGTCGAAATTTCCGGAGCCCTCCACTACAGCGTCTCTGATATTCATTTGGTGTTTCGGGGATTTTATAAACCCCCATATAATAATAATAATAATAATAATAATAATAATAATAATAATAATAATAATAATAATAATATGTTCACCTTTGGGGCAAGAAACATGCAAGGTGATTATACATTGCGTGATGTGCGTGGTCTACGACGTTTTGCTTACATGCGGCAAAGTTTATATCAGCGAGACCACACGCTACGTCATGATACGGCAAGGAAGCACGAAGTTACGATTAAAAATAAGGTAAGGGTTCATTTACTTATGTACTGTGAACACAGCAGGTCTGGGTTGGACCTTACCAATGCTCACATATTTGGAAAGAGCAAGAACACTATAGAGCAGGTGAACTTTCGAGGGCGTGTTTTATCAATGTGAAACGAGAGGTGTGCTTCAGTGACGCGTCTTCGCGCCGCGTAAAGCAAGAGTGCATTAGTATCGTGATGTCATAAGCGTTACATTGCTCGCCATCATGCTGTACGAATGTAACTGCCCACATGTCCGCGTGTATATAGCAAAGAAGCCATTTTTTTTCAAGTTAATTCAGTAGCAGATTGACACTTTATCTTGTCCTCTTTTATTTTATCTCCATGAGTTGCGTCCTTACTCTTTCTTAAGAATATAGAAGTATACAAGGTGTCCTACGTATATTTAGCCAGAGTTTAAAAATATGCCGGAACACTATCGGTATGTCCATCCGTCTATCTGTATGTCCATCCGTCTATCTAGTGAACACTACAAGTACAGCCATCTCGCATGTTTTCATCATGTACTATCATATACAAGTGCCGCCATCCAGCGGACATTCTAAAGACCACTCTTTCGCGTACGTGCCACCGGTGGCTACATACACCATCAGAGGATGGACAGGCCGGCACACTAAGGAGCGTCGCCCCTAAAAGTTGGCCGGAAGGTCAACGTGCTGTCGACATTTTGTCAAGACATAATCATAAGGAATTAGCCTGCAATGTCAAGAATTCAAAAACGCTCGCTTTATATTCGTTCAGCGAAAGCGCAAAAGAACGAGATTCTTTTTCGGGCAGTTTTGTTCGTACATGGCGCAGCATCGGTGACGGTTAACGCGCACACTCGATCAAACTGTCTTCATAATGTTTATTGCCAAACCGCAGTAGTTGACGTCACCCACTGACCACCCTTTTTATCCGTACGTCCCATTATGCGAAACCTGTTTCGTCAGACGTGGTCGGGAATAACAACGCGCCCTCTTTTTCAAAGCGGGGACCACTTCAAAAGAACGGCACAAAACGTCATTTTCGGAAGTGTAGGGACTCGGGCGAATCGGTAGCGCACTGCAGAGATTGTGGGCGTTCCCCTAATCTGTAAAGCTGCATTGTTGTGGGCCGTTCTCGAAATCAGCTGACACGTGAAATTCCAGAAGCCGAGCAGACTGCGAAGAGCTGGAAGCTGAGCGCCTGCCTTTCTTTACGTCTGTGCCTTCTACTTTTTTCTCCTATATGCACCCCGCTAAGACAAGCTATACTCATCATTTTCGATCCACCGTGCGTTCGAAGCCTCGAACAGGTATGCTATGGGAAAACTGATGTACTATCCATCATTTGCGTGTGGGTCAGATGACCGCAGCACTAAAGTTCCATCTAGTAAAAAGAAAATGGAAATATTCTCGCCTATAATGAAAACCTGGTCAAGCCAGTGAACGAGGTTCAATTTTTCGAAGCTCTCAATTTCGGCGTCTTTCAAAATCATGTCGTGGTTTTGAGGCGTAAGACCCCATCAATTGTTATGGAATTAACATTAGAGCATATGCGCAGTCCCTTCTTAAGATATACAGAGCGGGAACGTTCCTTCAGAATAAATGATGGTTCGTCACGCTTCCTAGGATAAATCCAGACTGCCTATGTAGGTTTTCAGTAACGGAAATATGTCGAGCACATGCGTAATCCGCAGCAGTGGTTTCAATGCATTATGACGATGGTGTGGCGCATTCTTAAACGCGAACGGAAAATAGCAGCTGCCCAAGTGAAACCGCTTGGAATCGCTACATTGTATCGCTGGGTAAGTTCTCAAAAATAGCGAGAAGCTATGAGACACAAATTAAGAATAGATTGATATGTGTGGTTAAACGTCCCAAAACCATTACATGATTATAAGAGACGCCGCAGTCAAGGGCTCCGAAAATTTTGACCACCTGGTATTCCTTAACGTGCGCCCAAATCTGAGCACGCGGGCCCACAGCATTTTCACCTTCATAGAACAAGCAGTAAATGGTGATCAAATGCGACTGCTAAACCACACCGATACTGTCCCCACGAATGCGTAAGTATACATGAATCATAATCCAGTTCTTGTTTACTGGCCTCGACGACATGCCGTAGCGCCACCTACGTGATGACGTCACTCATAAAATAACCGGTAGGCTTTGTATGCTAGAAAACAGCATTTCCTGCGCTTTTGCTGTGGACTTCACGCGTGCTTCCCTTTGTTTTGAAGCTCAATGCTTAAAGAAGCGGTAAGACCTGATAATGCGGGCGAGCAAAGTACGAGTAGGTGCTGCCAGTGAATTTCTCGCGTCTAAATTGCATCGTAAAATTGGGACTAAGAACCGCCGGTGCAGCCATGGAGGACGATGCAAGTGGTGTCGCGAAAGCAAGGCTGCCCTATTCCACAATGACCCATCTTATATGTGACGTCAAAACGATCGCAGCGCTGCTTCTCTAGTGGAGGCCCTCGCGGCCAATAGCGACCAATTACGTCGAGTAGCACTCATAACAAACAAACGCTGCAAACAGCATTCCATAAATGTTCATGTTCAGGCGTTAGGCACACACCAACAGCTGCTATCTGTAGCGCCATAATTCGCACAGAGATATCCGGGGAACATGATAGCATTGACAAAATTGTGCGCTCAGCATTATCGAAAGTCAGTAGACACTCTTTAAGGTGTGTAAACGCCCCCTTCACAAGATTTTCTCTGGCGACATGGGCTCCCAACCATCGCGGTGTGAAACAAGTGAGCCGTCACTAGCAGGGCAGTCTGGCAGCAGTGTGGTCGTACCAGCGACCAGTGTAACTTCGGACCAAGCCGGACCAAGCCCCACCCCAGATGTGCTGGCGATGTCGTCGTTCGAGTTGCCCGCCAACGCCAGCGAGGACGTGCTCCGACGCGAGATAGCCGAAGTAAAAAGCAATTTGCATTCCCTGGACATATCCAACTGCATCGTAGCGGTACCAGCACTACTGCTGTCGGTCGCCTCCGACTTACAAAACCTCCGGACACTCTCGTGCATTGCATGCCCTCTGAAGGCTAGCCTTCTTCTGGAGCGGCTACTCGTCTCCTTGCCGAACGTCACGGAGCTCCAATTCTCGCTCGTCGACGCCAAGGATGACGCCAAGGAAGAACTTCTCAAGTTGCGGCATTTGGCAAACGTGCAAGAGCGTAAAGAGACCAAGATTCGCAAGATGTACGTCGAGGTCGCGGACAAAGTTAACGTGAAGGTGCTGCTGCAGTTCCTGCAGTACTGCCCACTTCTGGAGGACCTACACGTTCACTTCGCGCAAGAAGTCAACTCGTACTTCTGCGCGGCGACGTGTTCATCCATGGCCGACCACTTGCTTAATCTTGAGACGCTTGTGTGCACCTGCGAGGCACCCTGCACGGCCCAATTAGACCGTGGTCAGCCGGTGGACTTGCGTTACTGCATCAACCTTCACGGAAACGTGGTATTCCGAAAGACATCGCAGGCCTTCAACTGCGCCCAGCTGCAAGACCTGGCCTTCTCACGCAATGCGGTGTTCCCGCTTGAGCCAGTAATTCTTGCAGCCGTCGACACACCGGATATCGGGAAGCAGTTTTTCAATGCCGGCTCTCGGCACAACTGGAGCCAGATACCGAGCCTGTGCGTCCTGCTGTACGATCAAAGCCTTGATCGAACGGCGTACCCGACCATCAGCCGTACGCACAAGGAGGCTCTGCGCTGCTTTTTCGCTATGTTTCTCAACCTCGTTGAGCTAAACGTCAGCTCCTTTCACTTCAGCGATGGCTTCGACTTCACACAGGTGGTGGATGTGCCCGCTCTGCAGTGCCTCCGAGCGCTGTCCCTTCCGCCCTGTGGCCTACGCGCGAAAGGTGCCGTGCGCCGGCCGAGCCCTCATGCTCGGCAGCGTTGAAGACCTAGACGTCCGACTCAACTTGGACGGCCGTCACAAGAGTTGCCGTAGCTGCGCGAACAAACTGGTCATCGAACCTGCGGATGCGATCGCGTTTGGCATCCGTTCCGGTCGTCTTACGTTGAGCAACGTGCCAAACTTGGTTTCTCTGGATTTCTTACAGTGCTTATCGGTTTCCCACGTGCGCTACATTGACGACTCTGACGTACCGCGTTTCAACTACAGGGCTCTATCGAGTGCTCTGTCTTCCAGCGTAACCCTCCGCTCCCTCATCGTGAAGATGGCCCTCATCGACTTTTACGAGCAATCGTTCGAGGTATGTACTTCGAGAGCCATCTCTCTCCCAGCGGCACTTTCTCGTCAGAAGGCACACTGAGAAGACAACACAATTTTTTTGTGTTACTAAATTGCTCTTCTTTCACGTTGCCAATGGGACAACGTTCACTGTTGGAAGATACTTAATAGGCTGCAAAACCTGTACAAAGAAAACGTGGACAGCGATGCCACCTCGTATTTCCCGCGTCATTCAACGTAAAGAGTGATTTTGACCTCCTCTTTCCCGGGCTACGTAGTTCCCAATCGCTAACAATGAAGAACATTGTCCTGAAAGCAATTCTTACACTTAAAATACAATTTTTTTCCGAAATTTCGGTGAGTCAGTGCGCACGCTGTATACTATGGCACACTTTAAACCCGTGATGTCACCATATGATACCACGATGAAAAAGTTAAGTGTAAATGCGACGTTGTTGCTATCACGTATATGCTATCACGTTGCTGTCACGTATGCTGGTAACGTAAACGAAACATTCCTACAGCTTTCCGCGTATAATTTACGTTTACCATTAAAGCTGCGCCTTCACCGCAAGTAGATGACGTGACGTGCATGGGGTTGTACTCACATTTGGAGCTTTATATATATAGCGTGCACGTGTTTCGTCATTCCTACGCAGTGCTTTACCAACATAACAATCAACACATGCGTCCAATTGTTGAGGCATTACATAACAGTTGTAGTGTTAGACGTATGAGCCGACCGTCGATTAACTTGCAGAAGATGAAATTGAATGCTTTAGCGCTTATCTTTCATCGGGACAACACAAATTGATAGGTTCGCGTAATATTCGGGCATGCGCAGATGAGCTTCCCGCACTTTTTTTTCGTCGTTGTCCACATCCTCAGTTGTTAGTAGGAGTTGGTCCTGTCCGGACTCAATTGCCTTCTTGTGTTCAGTCTGCACGCCCCACCTATACAGATTATAATTCCCCTGGTCCTCAGAACTACATATGCCTCACTAGTAGCTTTGTGTTTTGTACTTATTAGGTAACTATCAATTCTATTTTAATCTCCTTATGATGCCAAGTGTCTCTTACCTAAAGATTAGACAACTATAAAATCAATAGGGTTGTAAAAATATGCATGGACGGTTACATTACACAGATTGCCTATTGGAACGTAATGCGTCCTTCATATTGCGTAATCATATTGAGCATACGGGACGTGAAATAATGAGGTTTCTTTTTCATGGAAGGTGAAGGTGGCAACATATTGTGCAATCCGTCGTTTGTCTTTTGTTGCGCTGGGAAAAAAACATCAAATATTTTAGTGTGGGCACCTGTTCGAAAGTGCACAATACGGTGAGATAGGCGAGCTTCAGGGGTTAGCGTACGCGTGGCTATTAGGTGGTGACTAGGAAATGTGTGAAATAATAAAATACTTTAGCCATTTCAGCACTGCAGTGGCCCAATATCAGTTCACAAAGCTTTCTTGTTTTTGTTGTTTTTTTCAGACTTTCCTATACCCGGGGAGAGCTCTGGAACGCGTGTGCCTGCTCACAAAGAAAAAGCTGCAGTCACCAAACGTGCGAATTATTGTTGAAGCCATGGCCCGCCGGCTGCCATCCATCATCTACATCCACATTCACTACGTGGACCGTCACACGGGTGTGGAGACCAGCATGACCTGGATTCGCCGCACCGAAGGCGTAGCGGCAGGACTACCGGTTAGAGAAAGTGTGATGCCAGGGAAGCCTTGCATCATGTGCTCCACACAGACGTTCGTGGCCCTCGCAAAGCCGCTATACCGTGAACTTCAGTAGAACAAACATCACCTCTCAGTCGGCCAATGCAGCATCGACACCTCAGTCTTAGGCAGACACTTTTATGCTCTTAGATTGACGTGCGTGGCGAAAACTCATGTCTGTTATTTCATCGTAACACCTAGAAGATAACACTCGCTTTTCATCGCCAACGAGCGAATGTTCAAACAAACTAATAAATTTTATTCCTCCTCTGCGATGTGGTGTACTCGTTGCTCGAGGACACCAAGTGTAGACCGCATAACGTGTACCGCCAACGTATTTAAAACTTCACACAGTTTGACCGACACGGGATAGGTAAAACGCAGTAAGGAATGATATCCTGACGTATTGGCGGGACCAGATTTGGCTGCAACAATACATGCGCATAGTCACCCGTAGGGTTGCACGCGGGTGGCGGGCTTCCTTTTTTTTTTTTCATTTGCTGCCCGTCATGCTGTGAGTTTTGTAGGCAGCAGTTCTTCGGCGCAATGGAATGGCGATTCCCATGATGTTCGGGCGCGGGGCACGCGATAGTAGTAGTACGTGCGAGTTGCGTTTGAACTCTTTTACTTTTGTGTGTGTATGTGGACTTCACCGGGGCCTGTGGAACTGCGAACAAAGAACCGCGTCGCCTGGTATTCATGGAGGACCACTGCGGGCTTCGCCCTACGGCACCAAAATATGTAGGCTATATTGAGGGCCGGTTAGGGGCGTAGTCATCGATTATCACTGGCAGCGTATATGTCTTCATAATTCAGCCGAAGTTTATGCAAGGTCACGTGTGCCTTTAGCGAGCGAGTTTCTTAAACCATGCCGCCACTTCGGGTTACTACTCCCCGTGACACAGGCGGGCGTATAAGGCTTTCAGACTTAACTTATGGTCCGGCAGCTTTGCAAGGGCTGTGTCGCCGGGATGCCAGTGGACACAGCCCTAACAACGACCCGAAATGCCCGTGAGACTCCCGATACCGTTACTTATAGGCCAGTCTTTTCTGTCGCGTAATGTGTTTATCGCGGCCTGCAACATGGCGTCGATCCCTGTCTTTGCCTAATCGACTTGAAAAAAAACTGACATTCTGTCGAACTTGAAGCACTTCAATTCTGCACAAATATAACGTCGGGGTTCTGCTATATCGGTGGAGCGCTAACCATTCACTCCCGTTTTCCTTTTAGAAGCGAAGCTTCATAAATGAACCAGTTTAGAGAAGGGAAACTGTAGCCTTAACCCCGGTACGATAGATAAGCAGCGCTAGCGCATGGAGCTGCACCGAAGAGATGGCGCGGAGTAAACAATAAGCGGAAAAAAAACAAAATTTGTTTTTTAGGTAGAAAAAAAGAAAGTGGCCGCCCTTTTTTTTATTTCGCGCCTAGTGCGCATGCGCAGGGGCCTCGGTCAGTTCTTTATTCTATGGCTATCTTTTCTAAACAGAAGTTCACGAAAGAGACCGGGACTCGGGTAACCTTACGAGTGTCTCGTTATCTATTGCTCGCTTGTTTTAAGCGTGTCAATGCACCCAGCAGGACGCCAACGCGTCCATCGGAACGCCGTACCTGTGCCCGAAAATATTTCATGGAGGCGAGGGGCATTCTTTGACAGCTCGCACTAGCAAAAGCAATTCATGAGTGAGTGTGGAGAACAATAATATTTATTGGCAGCAAACCAGCAATGATATTTCAAAGTGAAAAAGAAGTCTATCGTGTTAGAACCATTATCGAGAATTTGCAAACGGCACGCCTTCTTCAGAGGCAAAACAAACAGAGAAACGTGTCTCGCTTGTAGGAACTATCATTACAAGACAGTCGTGAAAATCAGCACAAGATGCTTCAGTGAAACCTTCAATATTAAGATCTTGTTTTTGCCGAGCACGGCTTAACATCCCTCTCCCTTCTTTCTGTAATACAAAAATGCTAGAAGCAAATTGGAACGCCGAGTACCCCGCCGTCCATCGGATGAAAACTGCGCATGTCGGCGTCAGCTGCCCCCGCCGCACGTCTTCGTGTGCTGTGTGCATTCTGAAGAGGTTTTCATAGTGAATTCTTACTAAGTGGCTTTCTCCCTTTTTCATACTTCTACAATAGCGCTCGAGAATTCAAATACAACTATTTAAGGTTTGTACATTGATTAAACCTAGTTTCCAGTCCTTGGTCTGTGTCTTAATGCATAGACTTTGATGCAAGCGCTCGCATCAATCAACACTGCTAGGAATAACCAAACAGTGAAAATTCAAAGTGAATGTTGGCACAATCTTTTCATTTAAAATTTAAGCCCCATCGCGGTGTTCTAGTGGCTGAGTTACTCAGCTGCTGACCCACAGGTCGCGGGATCGAATCGCGGCTGCATTTTCGATAGAGGCGGAAATGTTGTAGGCCCGTGTGCTCAGGTATGGGTGCTCGTTAAAGAACCCCAGGTGGTTGAAATTTCCAGAGCCCTCCACTGGGCGTCTCTCATAATCATATGGTGGTTTTGGGCCGTTAAACCCTACATATCAATGAATCATTTCAAATTTATTCGTACATATTGCATGTTAAAAAGAAAAAAAAATGAAATATGTGCCATGACCCAGCAAACATGCGCGATATTTTTTGTGCGAACAAGACATGCGTAAATGTCACTCTTTTAAGTTTGATAGCAAGTCGAAGCATTTTTATATAACAGCGTGATTTGAATTTCTGTAGAATGCAAGTTTTTACCTGCAAAATACATTGTTTTAGAGTTTACTATACTTAAAGTGTACAAACCGGTAACAAGCGTTCAAGCGTATAAACTCAAAGATCCACGAGAGTGAAATCTATCCATTTAACGTTGGATTCGGGTTTCTCAGCAGTGTCGCCTTCTGGATAAGTATTGACGATATGTGATTTCTTTACTTCAGTGAAACTACCTTTACAGGGACTTGCCTGTGCTTGGTCTTTTTTTTTTTTCATTTTGAGTACGCACATATTGTGAATAATTTCAGTGTCCAAGTGAATTCAAATACCGTACAATGTGTCCGAATATTCGTGGTGCTCCAATATTCCCACAGGCCTAAACACTACCTGTAGTTACCAGATTCCTAATGGCATGATGCAGTTATCGTGTGCCTACCAGTTAGATACATAAATTTTAGTGTCTTCTCAATCCAGGAGCACTGTACATCAATGTGTAGACATGCAGGTGGCTCGCTTTTCTTCCAGATTGTGAATAGTCTCACCAAGCACACGCAAGGGGCAATCCAGTAGGTCCTTGCGAATCTAGCAGCCCTCGTTTCATGGAAGACGTTCCCCAAAAAATAGGGTTTCACCTCCCTACTGGCGCCCCCTGTGTTTTAAGGACCTTTTCCCGAACCGAAGTTTGGCAATGAATCTCGTAAGCAAGTCTACATTAAGTAAAAACTGCTCAATGAATGAAACACAACAAATTAAGGCTAAGTAATACTTGAGTTTCCAGTTTTATGCTCACGCAATGCGTTGGTCCACAGTGCCTTTAGCCGCGGAATTCATAGTGACATGACGCAGTTATCACGAGCAGTTGTGCTTACTGTAGCTGCTAGTTCACTTTGGTACAAAGAAAAAGCTTAGCGAAGCTATCATTAATGAAGCTGGCAGCAGCTCATTCAAATTATGGGGACCCTCAAAGCGATAGCGTTATTCTGTTCATAATGCGTACTTCAAAGACTCAGTGTATGAAGTCTTTTCGAACTTGCTATACACCCGCTGCGTGGCTTTGAGGGTGGAACAGCGTGTGTACCTCTTGTAATCGGTGACTGGCTTTAAACTATCAAGTTATTGTGAAAAATCCCATTATCTGGTGCCCGGTGGCAATGTACGCTTGTACCATGCCATATTACGGCAATATTTTATGTCATATTGTGATGCATGTATACAGGACACGTGTGTTTGTAAGGCATGAAAGTAACTTTCTCTGTGTTTCGAGCAGATGAAGTTATTTTCACTGCACTCACAAGCAAAGGCATGACTGTGTTGTGGAACACCCGCTTGCCTCGCAAAGGACCCAGGCTCGATCCCCACTCACAACGAAACGATGCGAGTTCAATAGCGACTTTTTTTTTATTAGCAGCTTGCTCAATTTTTCGGTCATGCAAAGATGATTTCCCGCTCACAACCAATGACGCTGACGCCGCAATTTCAGTGAAACGTGTTACTTAACGCTGCCGCTTTAAAACAATTTTTCATGTTCATTGTTCTTTTCTAGTATTGTTCAGATTTTTTCAGTACATTTACGCCTCTGGCCTTGTATTTTCCTCTTCTTTTGGCTAAGACCTATTTTCACTACATGATTTCTTCTATTGGAGTATGCATCAAAAAGCAAATATTGTCTTTTTGTCTAATCTACTTTATAGTTCCACCATATGCCATCTTTGCCAAGTGAACTGTGAATCTCAGTATCGCTACAATACTTGTCTGCAGACTATACTTACAGCTTCCCAAGGTAATTTCCCAAAGGGCTCCTGCTGTGGTGATGGTTCGCATTATTTTTGTGTGAAAAATAAATTGTTGTTGAGATTTGTTCAAATAAGATATTTATTCTGTTTTTTTTTAATTAGTGCCCTCTGGTGTTCAACTGGTAGAGCCCTTCTCTGAACAATCGGCCTTGCCAACTGGTGTGGCCCTTTAAAACAGCGTGGTCCTTCATAAATGTAATTCATAGAATAGTTTGTTAAACATCGGAATGATGTATTGCTGAGGTGCAACGACATGTTAACACGATTGGTACTCAAACAAAATTTCAGAAAATGGAAGCTTCTAGAGATCAATACTCAAAGCGGGATGCTGATGAGGTCATTTCGACCAACAAGCTAGTCTTGGCAAGATACCTGCAGCCTAAGCGCAATCTTTTTCTTGTCCTATGTAGCCCTTTATGTATAAATGCCCATTTCTCTACGTATTGCTTGAAGTTATATCTATGAAATGTCAAGTACTGATCAGTGGACAAGCCTACAAATGAAGTTTCAGATGCGATCCCACTACTTTCAATATACATCTCTGCTGTGTCGCTGTAGGCATTGCATATTGCTGGTTTGTGTGCCACAACGCTGGCTTGTAAAGCGGTGAAACAGCATCTGCTTTCTGGGACTGGCCGTACCTCCAGATACATGTTCACTTTTGCGGGCCATGTTTGACGTCGTACAGCTCTTTCATACCTGCTAGTATCATTACCGAACTGAGCAACTTTGTTTCTAGAGTAAAGTGGAAGGATATTCTGATATTTCGAAAT